GCGGGACCTATGAAGCCGTTAACGGGTCCGGCTTTAGGGCGGGACCTATGAAGCCGTTAACGGGTCACATGGTATCACGGTAGCGAGGCCTCGGCCGTCATCAATTTTGGCCCCTCCCCTAAATGAATCACGTCTCAACACGCGCTTCAGGGAAACGCCCCCTCCATTACTCGACTCAGGCTTAGAAGCTGATCTCATCTCATGACATCACTAGTTTCAGTAAACAGGCAGGAAAACTGGAAGGTAATCAGAGTAAAGGTGGAATTCCTCCAGTTACCTTAAATGACCTGTTTGGTCGTCACTTTGTAAACGTCTGATTCTAAGCCAGTGATTGTACTCCAGGTGCGGGGATCAAGGCCCAGGTGTGCAGCCTGGTGGAGCTGCTGGTCACCACGCTCTTCCAGGCCTATGCTGTCTTCTACCTTCCTCCTGAGGGGGCGCCCCGGCCAGCAGAGGGAGCTCTCAGCTGTGGGATGCTCTTCTCCACCTTGGAGAATGTGACCTCCTCCAGTCCTGCAGGTAAATCTTCCTCTGCTTCCTGCTGGAAGTGGAAGGAAGGCCTCTGAAGTCTGCTCTGTCCTCAGGGAGGGGCAGGAAGGTTCTGCAGGAGGAGTGGAGCGCCGGCGGCTGGTTCCGGCACCTCCCTCCATCCATCACAGAGTTCCAGCCCAGCCTGCGGAGCCTGGCCCAGCCCATCCTGACGGAGCAGCTCCGGGACACCCTGCAGCAGTGGATCAACACGTGAGGAACCTCCTCCCCAATCATACTGGGTTTACTGGGAACACCACTGTGAAGTGGGAGGGAAACGGTTCTTTGATCCAGTTCTTTGACTAGGCCACTGTGGGCCGGTCTGGATCTACAGGCAATTCATTTGTAATTGTTAATAAGTGTTTCTTAAACTTCAGAGAAGATTGGGCGTTCTCAACAAACGGATTTCCTTAAAAACTTTAATGTTGTCATTTTCCTCTTGAGGAACTAGAGGAAGCAGAACAAACTTTAGAGTCTGTCCTCTCAGTCCTGCTGTCCATAAAGGAGGAGATCAGCAACCTTACTGTGAGGGATTGCTGAAGAGTCAATGAGTCGATGCAATCAGCTGGTTTTCCTTAGATAGAAAACTTTGAATCAATCTGACTGGATGATCTGGT